AACCTAATTCGTTTTTTTAAATAACATTAGAAGCCTAAGTTACTCCTTATAACGTCAGCCAGTGAAAGTCCCTTCCAAATCGGTCCAGCCGTTTCTGAAATTAGCCGGAAGCAACAGACAGACAAAAAATGTTTTTTTTTTCTTATAAGTACCGTATATACTTTATATATTGTACTTTAGTAAGAAGTTGTTATTTTCACATTATAAACAGACACTTCATTTTTTTATATATTATATAAATTATATTAATTACAAATCACGATACTGCAAAATGTTATTCAGTAGGAAGTGTCATAAATCAGGTGGAACATATTATGTTATTGATTTGCCATTTAATTATACGGTTGAAGTTATAAATTATTATATTTACGGTTGATACTGTGAAGGTTAGGCAGAAACTAAATAAATACAAATAATGTACATTTCTTTTATTTCCTTTCCAAATAGGAAATATTACTTAAATAGAATCTAGAAACCTAAATCTTAAACTAGAATAGATCTGACAGCCTTTCCTTTTATTATTATTATTATATACTAGCAGTACACACGGCTTCACCCGCACTTAAACTTCCCATCGTTATCAAACTTCACAGGATCATCCGCTGAGCTAATCTGATTGCCTGAAAATTTCATCAAAATCGCTCCAGCCATTTTGGAGTCCATAGAGAACATACATACACAGATCGATATTATAATAAGTCCACAAAAATATTCTACCGGCACCATAATATCAAAGTGGGATACAGACTATAAATACTTCAAACGCTTCGTCGCTCCGCGTATTGACAGTTCACAATAAAACGTCATAAATCATGTCGTCCAACATGGCGTCCCGTTTGACAGTTATCACATGTTGCGCGGGAACATTAAACTCATTGAAATTTATTGCTCAATCGTTGTAACATTTGCTTTATAGTTAATAGATTCCCACTATTGTTTGCTGTTAATGAAATGACATTGACAACTGAATTGGATATGCGTAAGTAAAAACTTTTGTGAAATTATATTGTTATTTTATAGGCATAATAATTAATAAATTAATGCTGTATTAAAAACTCCTCGCACATTTTCACTTTCGAACAAATGAATGTGGATAATGACAATGTCAGTCATTTGACTTTTAGCCGAGTGAAAAAAAAATATCGCATCATGATTTAACGCTTTCTATAGAACATACTACCTATTTATCCTAGTTTTTCCTCCCACTTGTAAAACCATGTGTAAGATGGTAAATAATGCTACAACTACAGTTGTAAAATGAACAACTACTAGATGTACCCACTAAATCTTGTAAAAGGTTTTAAAATTATTGTCTGGCGAACATATATAAAAATGAAGCATCAGAATTTACGTGAAATTAAGTCATTATTTTGGGACCTTTAAAGCGTCTGTTAAACAATACCGCCGACGGAAAGTGTCTGGGAATATTGACAACTTATTTTTAACGATATTGTCTAAAATATACGTGAAAATCAGCTTGGAGAATTTACGTGAGGTAAGTAATGTTTTTATGTACCTTGATTACCTGATACCTGGAAATTGGCCGTCTAACCAAGCTAGCTGGTAGGCATGCGATCTTAGTACATACTAACACTACTCAATCGCCCAATTTTCGTTCGTCAGAAAATACGTGACGTCTGGTGACCCTGGGATCTTGGAATATAGTATGGTTTTTTTAAATGGCATTTAAATGGCATGCGAGAATCAAAACCCAGTTTGTGGTAAATTAAAATAATTATATTATAAAATATTGATTCAAATATACAACATGTTAGGCTAAGACGCGATAAACTTATCGTTGATAATCGACTTGCTTTTAAAAACGTGTTACTTGTGTTTTCTTTACAACATATGAGGCACAAAATTAAACGGATTCAATTACACGCTTTTGTGATGTTTTATCAAAAGCCCACGTGAGTCATTCCAGTCGATCCTTTATCAAAAATCCAAACAAAGAAATCGTTCATACGAATTGACTACCTCTAAAACGGTAACATGAAAAGGCTAAAAGTCAATACATAAGATCGGAGTGGTCATAACATTTTATACGCGCCATTACCCCGCCTAAGTGCGGCGTAAATTCTTATAACTCGAGTAAGTATTCAAAATATGAAAGATGACGTCGTTAGGGCGTTGGGGACTCGAGACCCTGTTGTATACCTAAATGTGTTTTAGTGCCCGTTTGTTCTATTCATTTTGGATATTTTGAGTGAAACATAAAAAGTTACATGCTGCCATCATTTCGGTATTTTCACTATCGAATTTTTAGCTATAGAATTAACGCCGTTGTCAACCGACTTCAAAAAGGAGGAGGTTCTCAATTCGATTGTCTTTTTTTTATGTTTGTTACCTCAGAACTCCGTCATTTATTAACCGATTTGGACAATTTTTGTGTTGTTTGAAAGTGTATACTTCCAGATTGGTCCCATTTAAATTTCAAAAAAAAATACCACCCCTAAACGTGGAAAAATAGCTAATGATGAATTTAACCTTCTTCTAATTGTAATACTGACTTGAAACTTTGCAAGTGTTTCTACTTTCGTTGACAGTAAGTACAGTGTTTCGGTATTGTTGACCTGATCTGATGGTAAGGCCAGAAGGGGGATAGGCTAGGCTCTTCAACGACTAAAAGCACACCGACTTCGAAAATATTTGATTAGGTATGTATAGTAAATGAAAACTACCAATCAGTTAATTTTTACTTTTTCGTGCTTTTGTTTTAAGTCGGTTTTTATTTTTTTTTTATTTAAAAATGATGTACATATTATCGAATGACAATTTACTTTTAATAGTAAACACATAAAAATATCACCCAATTAAACTAATTAGGCTACTACACAAAAACGTAACATTGAGATAAATTAAAGTAATTATATATTAATATCTATAATATATTTTATGATAAAGAATGTATGTCTGTCCATACCGTATGAATTTCTTTACCAATGATTCTGTTAAACTTTGATTAATTGTATTGTGCCTATGAAATTTAAAAGATGATGCACTGGTGGGATCAGATAATTTTATTATATTTATAAGTTTGAATCCAAGGAGTCCAATAAGAATGCAAAATAGATGTATACATAATAACGGTTATGTGCTATAGTGCCACTTTACACACGGACCAGCCAAAGACTGGAGGCAGGTCGCTAGTCAAATATAATTAAAAATAATGATTAAAGTCTTTATCAAAACCACAAAAAGCAGCTTTCAATTACGAACATGAAAAATAAGCAAAAAATATTTGCAGCTCTTAAATTGCCAAGCGTCGACTGTGGCCTGTCAGAACTGTCAACGTGTCAGCTGTCACGACACCCGCCACGCGATTTACATAAAACTGCTAAGTGATAATTAAAAATGTTCATTTCGCCCTATAATATACGGATCAAGATCAATTTTTAAAATAAAATAATCTGTTATACTATTAAATGTGACAACTCCATACGTAGATATAAAAGACAACACTTTGCGCAATTTGCAGCAAATGTATTTATAAAATGAATATAATGCTACTAGAAGTAAGCGATTTTAAATAGGCACTATTTTTTATTTCGCTAATATTTTGATACAGGCAATATATAATAAAAACAGGCATACATATAAATAGTAAATACATACTACGTAAACCCTAAAAAAAAGGTTTTCGAGTTTTTACTAAAAACTTTAAAGTAGACTCTTTCACAATATTTATAAAATTTAATTAATATTAATCAAATTTTAATGCGCTCTAAAATTTAATTTGCTTAGTCACAAAAATCTCGGCAAGTACCAGCCGTATTGGAAAAACCTTTTAATTCCAAAATAATAACCTTGACTATAGAAAATAATATATCCATTAAAAAAATCCTTTATTATTTCAATATTTTAAAGCTTTAGATTTTTTATTTTAAAACTTAATTGAATGGCAAATTTTCCATGCAAATTACAACGGATGGCAACTGTCAGGAAGCGTCGGCGCTTGCACGCTCTGTCAAAATGACACCCACCAAACAATTTATACTATTTAAAATGATCATTTACATTATATTTTAGCTAATAATTTTAAAAATAATTTTTACAGATACAAAATTTTCTTAAATTAGTTGAAAAAGTTATTCATCAATTAATTAAATGTTTTATAAAGAATATTCGTATTGTTATTGGTCATTGACAGAAAAAAATATTAAACCTTTTTTGAAATAATATTATTTTAAAATATTCCTTGCAACGCAAATTGGACAGATGGTAGCTGTCAGCCAGTGTCGGCTGTCAGCGCGTCCTGTCACACTGACACCCGCCGAGCGATTTACATAAAACTGTCAAGTGACAATTAAAACTGCTCGTTTTGTGCCATGTAGCATGATTAAGTGACGCAAGGGATGGAATATTTTTATGCGTTACTATGAATTTCATAAGGATCATACTTCTACAAAGGTTTCTGGACTTATGGAACCATAAAAACCTTTACACACACACTTTATCAAATGTTATATATTATTATTTAATTGTTAATATATTGTAATTATTGTGATTAATCTTACTGGTGCTAATACAATGGACCATAACTGGTCGACGTAGCTAGGGCCGACCTCGGCACCACACCCAATAAAATAAATAATAATATAGATATTATTAATTACATATATTAAAATTATATTATGTGCACGTTAATGTCAATTCTAAAATAGTAACATCAAAATATAATATGTGTTACCGACTTAGTACTTAGTATTTAATAGAGCGGATATGTGTAAATATTATATATAATAGATCACGAAACTATATATATTCTTATAAATAAAACACTGAAAAGATTAAAAAAAATAATTTTTAATGAGTAACTGAAAATAATTACAATTAAATTAATTTTTAACAAAACTAGCACAAATTACAGTAAGTTTATAAGGGCAGAGCGCAATGTTGCTTTCTCGATGTCTGGTGACAAAATGAGCCCTTCCACTCATCGTCTCCTATTTATACACGTGGTCACGCAGTACATGTCTAAATAGTGTTGCCATCTAACACGGCCTCTCCTGACATGGCAGCGTCCTCGCGGTCCTCATCAGTCCTTGATGATGGATCAGCACCATCTTGGTCTTGATCTTCATCGCAACCTGTTACAACAAAACAATACGTTAGGCACACACATCCAGAATTAATGGCGCTTGATAGCAAAAGGGTTAAAATTAAAATAGCAAGCGTCTATGTACCAAAAATCACAAACAACTTGCACACAGCAAATAAACGGTCATATTTACACTAACGTGTTTTTAAAGACACCTGCAGGATTTACTCGGGTCATATTCCCACACCGAATACCATGCGCGCATAAGGATTTACATCGGTTACAGCAGGTCAACCACGAGACCTACTACTACAGGATTTACACTCGGTCTATAGTCAGCATGGGCCCCACTGACATCAACCTTGTTACCTTTACGGCGAGACACGAGCCTGACTCAATAGTACAAGCTCACTATCCACCTGTGTCGAGGTCACCCCAAGACCATGTGCACTCAGGATTTACATGGGTCTATTCCAAGAACACAACACTAAACAAAAGCAACTTGTGATTATTGGATACATAGGCAGTGTAAAGTGTACGCAAAAGTTAAGTGTATACAGTAAAAATAAGACTTAACGAAAGCTCTCAACTAACTTTCAAAGAAGCCAGCACATGTGTCGGGCGTCCATTCGCCACGCCACAACACCATACAGCCAGCAGCTGCTTGACTGGTTTTACCATATGAACCAGCTAGCAATCTCAGTTCGTACCTGTCGTTAGGTAGAACACTTATGACCTTATATGGGCCACGCATGCCACAATCTAATTTGCCAATACTCTGAGATCTCTTGATGACAAAGACTAGGTCATTTACATTGAACCTTTTTGGAGGATTTCTATTCTTATTAACATATGCGTCTTGTTTAGCTTTATTTTTATTAATTAACTCATCCGCGCGTTGTCTACGTAGCTCACGAATTGCCTCGCGGTTAGGATTTGATCCTTCAAGTGCAACATCTCTTATTAAAGAATTAATTACTGGCGTAGTGGATTCCGTGCCAATTAATAGGTTTAATGCGGAATACTGTGTAGTCTTATGTTTGGTAATATTTAATACTAACTGTAATTTCCATAAAACCTTTGACCATTCATTTGCATTATTATTAACCTCTATCCTAACCATATTTAACACAGTACGGCAATATCGTTCCACCTGACCGTTTTCCTGATGCATCTCAGGCGTAATAAAGTGTACTTCGATACCAAAATCATCTAACCAACGTACAAAATTATGATTATCAAACATTCGGCTTCGATCGCACACAAGCCGCTTGAAAGTGCCAAACAAAGATATAGTCTGAGTTATTACGAGTTTTAACTCGTGACTATCCTGTCTGCGCAAGCCATACAATAAACAATATTTTGTATATGCATCAACTATTATGAGTACATACTTAAATCCGTTACTTTCTCTAAGCGGACCGAGTACATCAGCATGTACTGTATCAAACGGTACAGGGATCTTTTGCCATGAAGATATTGGCTGTAAAGGAGCGCGTGGTACTTGTTTATGCGATATGCATATGACGCAGTGTGTTATATACTTGGTAACAAATCGTCTCAATCCCGGAAACCAAAAGTGTTTAAGAATCAAATCAATAGTTTTGTCTATACCCAAATGTTCATGTTCGTCATGGAATACACGTAACAAACTTAAACGAAACGCTTTAGGGACATAACATAGGTAACGCTCTTGCTCGCCTTCACCGTTGTACTTATAATACAAAAGATCGTTACGTTTTACATAGCGATTTGAATCTAGCTCACCGTTATTTAACTTTTCTAACAACGATAAAGTCTCTTCGTCACCCGCCTGAGCAATTTGCGCCCAATTAAGAGGTTTCTGAACGGCATTAACAACGTTAACCGGATTTCTACTTAAGTAATCTACGTGTGACATCAAACAACCTTTGCGATATTCTAAAGCAAAATCAAAATCTTGCATATAAATCCACCAACGCGCCACCCTAGGTTGAAGATCTTTCTTGCGCTGCGTCATTTTTAATGCATTACAGTCTGTTACTACCGTAAAATGTTTACCTATTAGGTATTGACGAAAGTGTTGCAATGACTTTACAACGGCTAAAGTCTCAAGTTCATAACTATGATACTTCGATTCCGCGCCTACCGTCAGCTTACTAAAATATGCGACTACGCGCTTACGACCATCTTTATGTACCTGCATTAATATACCGCCGTAGCCTACTGCACTCGCGTCCGTATGTAGCTGTGTAGGTAATTCGGGATCGAATATCGTTAATATAGGCTCGCTAGTTAGATATGAAATAATTTCCTGCCTAGCTTTTTCCTGTTCATCACCCCAATTGAAAACAACGCCTTTTCGAGTCAAAGCAGCTAAGCAAGCAGTTTTAATTGCATAACTAGGAATGTACCGCCGGAAATAACCAGCCAGGCCCAGGAATTGGCGAACTTGTTTAACATTACTCGGTTTCGGAGACTCAACCAAGGCCTTAACTTTATATTCGCTCGGTCTAACCTGACCCTGACTGATTAATCTGCCTAAGTACTCTATTTCATTAGTGAGAAAGTTACACTTCTTCAAGTTTATAGAAAACCCGGATTCTGTTAAAGTTTTTAGAACTGCATCTAGTAAAACGAGATTCTCATTAATTGAGTCGCTCATTAGAAGCACATCGTCGATATAAACAAGGACTTTATTAGATTCAATAAAGGGTTTTAAAGTTTTACTAATAGTTTTTTGGTAAATAACAGGAGCGTTAGCAAGACCGTAAGGCATTTTACAATATTCATAATGCCCTTCAGGCGTGATAAACGCAGTCTTATGTATGGAATCCTCACTGACACGCAGCTGATGGAAACCAGAAACCATATCTAGTGAACTGAACCACTTAGCTTTACCAAGCATATCTATATGGTCGTTAATTAATGGGAGCGGGTGTCTAATTTTCACCGTAATCTGATTTAAGGCTCTATAATCAACTACCATCCTGTCTGTACCGTCTTTCTTTTTCACAAGTAAGATCGGGCTAGCATATTCTGACTCCGATTCGCGAATTATGCCTTTCTCTAATAAATCTTTAACTATAGCGCGAACACGTATTTTCTCGTCATAAGACAATTTATATGGTCGGTAATATATCGGATCGTCACTAGTCAATTTAATCTGCATTTCACTATCTCTAACTGTAGTGGTAGCAGTACCGGTTAAAAAGTAATTGGAATATTTACTCAAAACATTTAACAATTGTTCCCTAACCTTTCCAGTAACAGCTGTCGATACATTCTCTAAAATTGATAACGAGTTTACTTGAGTAATATTATTTACATAAGCACTACTGTGAACAATACACTGTGTGTCACCGGTACGAATATAGGCAACACCTTTTCTATTTAAAACGTCGGTACCAATAATTACGGGCACATTTAAATGACTCTTATCCACAATATAAAAATCAACTTCTAATGTGATATCATTTAACTGTATCGGTAATGTAACCATAGACGTTGCTACAACCTCCATACCGCCTAAGCCTCGTAATAATTGGTGAGCTGGTTTTATTCTACACGAAAAGTATTTAATTAAATCAGATATTATCAGAGAAACACTTGAACCGCTGTCTATGAGTACATCGACGGGTATATTGAATATGACAGCCGTAACTACATCAGGATTTTTACGCTCACCCTCATTTTCGCGACAAAAATTAACGGTGTTATTATTTCTAACGCGTTCCTTAGCAAAACACTGGATTTCCGTATGACCTAACTTCTTACAAAAACCACACTTGTCAAGTCGAGGTTTTGTTGAAGAACTACCCCCACTGTTATCGGAATTTTTGTTTTGAGTTTCTGGCTTAGGTCGTTTGGGGCAAAGATCACGCTTATGACCTACCTCGTTACACTGATAGCAGCGGATTTTAAATGTGTCAAAAGATTTTCGTTTTAACTGGTTATTACTGTTACGATTTGAAACACTATGAGTACTGATTTTCTTATTAGAATTAGATACACCACACTTTACGAAGCTTGACAAGTATTCTACTATACATTCAGGTGTTAATTTAGCGTTCATTGCGGACGCACGAATCTGTGGGTCAGTAATGCCCCGTATAATTATAGCAGTTAGCAATTCACTACTTAACCCTTTGACGATGCGTAATTTTAGTAAAGATTTACGAGCATATTCGGCGTAAGTGGAATACTTGTCAGACTCAGTACACATAACATTATACAGAATGTTCGCAATATCGACAGACCGTGGACACAATGCTTTCAATTCTAATTTGAAGTTAGACCAAGTACGTGTGGTACTCGTCCACTCGCTAAGCCAGGTGCGTGCTTCACCTTTAAGACAACGACCTATGCGAGCAAGGCATTCACTATCCTCCCAACGATTAAGAGATTTAGCTTTATCAACTTCATCGCACCACGTGTCGACATCATGAACACTCGGGTCAAAATCTGAGACAAAATATTGATTCGATCTCACCGGGAATTGGATGATAGCGTCTAGGAAGCGTTCTGCAACGCTTTTTGCGTCGTTCCCCGCAGGCGTCGATGTGGCAGCGACGTCTTGTGCAGAAGCTGGGGGTGCGCAGGCAGGTGTTGTGGCAGGCTCCACAGCTGGCAGTGGCGTGCTTGGCATAGTGAGAGCTCGGCAGGGCTCCGGGGTTACCACCGAAGCAGATAGAAGCTCGCTCCCGCGTGCCCGTTCCTCCAGATCTTGTAGTCTCTTCAAAATCTCGTTCAGAGTATTAGAAGGCGAGGGAGTACGTGTACGACGCCTCCCTTTCCTTCTAGAGTCCGCAGGCATTGCGTCTCTGCCCAACTTAATCTCAATGATACAATTCTTCGACAGAGAATAAAACACACCATAAAAGATCGAGAATTACCTACTTCGTCAAATTTATAAAATCAGTCGGATTCTCGGGCGGTTAAGGCCTTCGAATCCCACTTCTGATCTTATAAATAAAACACTGAAAAGATTAAAAAAAATAATTTTTAATGAGTAACTGAAAATAATTACAATTAAATTAATTTTTAACAAAACTAGCACAAATTACAGTAAGTTTATAAGGGCAGAGCGCAATGTTGCTTTCTCGATGTCTGGTGACAAAATGAGCCCTTCCACTCATCGTCTCCTATTTATACACGTGGTCACGCAGTACATGTCTAAATAGTGTTGCCATCTAACAATATTATGAATATTTTGGTATCTCAAATGACACTTTCCTCTCAGAATTAAATAGTTATTTTATTAAGAATATAGATATTATTTTGACTCGAAATTGAAGATAATAAGCGTCGGAAAACAATTGCCATCCGTTGCCGAGATACGAAAAAACAATGTGTGTTAACAAATAAATAATAGTTATAGTATAAAAAGTCTTTAAATTACAATTCTAATCTATATAACATTAATAAAGCAAAGAGTAGAACTGAAAAGTAAGTATACTGCAGTCTGAGACTACAAGTTTCTACGAAGAAAGCGTTTAACATATGTTATGTACATAGTAAAGTGTACATAATTTTTAATTTTTTTTTTACTGTTACAGGTAAAAATGTATGTCTGTTTTACTTTATAGTTACAATTATGCAAGGCCTAGGCTGGTTGCTAGAAGATTGTTTTAGTCAATATAAAGATTTTCATAGCAGATAGAATATTAATGTACGTATTATTGTTATATTTCATGATCGCATTAAAAGTTATGAATTATTATTGATAACATTAATGATAACTTTAATAATAATAATTACAATTGATAATTATGAAATAATAATAATTGATAACTTTTAATGCCAAAATATGTCTTGTTTAAAAAGTTAATTGATTTGTTGGTTTAACTTACATTCGCGCATGGAAATTTTATATATAAGATATAAGAGAATATTAAGACCCTGGGAATAACACAGACTACTTTTTCCACGGTATATTAAATGTTTCTGTGGGATAATACAAATTACTGTTCTACTCTATAACTCTCTTCTAAATTATTATATAATTTTTGTGGTGTACCTCTAACGACTAACTTTTGGGATGTCAAAAACATCAGTCTCCAGTGTCCATGTTTGCTGTAAAACATTAGAAAAAAGAGACCAAATCAAAATAAAACAGCCATAAATAAAAGAAAAACATTAAAATAAATCAGACTCCTTTATCCTATAAAACTAATACAACCAGTAGCTACTTATTTATTAAAAAATAAAAAAAAACCAGCCATGACTTTTAAATTATATTTTTTTCACTTATAAAACTCGCTATAAACAACGATAAGCTGTATGCATATAAAATTTATCGGCTGCTTAACTCCTAAACAGGGCATCCATAAAGGCGAACGAGCGCTGCGGGCGCCGGCGGGCTATCTCGATGAATGCTATTAATACGCCTGATACACCGTTAATGTGACGGTAGATTGGGGATCTGTCATACTTACAGCGAAAACGCGTCTAAAATTGTACGCTGAGTTATGGTTTAATAGAATATCTAGTGTTGGTATAGAAGTTTTGTAAGTAATTGTTTAGATTGATTAGAAATTTGGCTTTGTTGAATTTGAATTTCTGAAGATTGACGCTAAAACAGCTGTTTTGGATTAAATTCAGTAAAAAGATCTAGGTCTAGGTTATAACCTAGAGTAAGCCTTATGTTGCTTGTTAGGCATATTACACAAAATTTTCCTCAAATTTTGTTCACATATACAATAAACTATACGGGATAAATATAGAAATAAAATTCTTTACTAGCTTTAATAGTGATATGAAATAAAAAAAAAACAAGTGAAAACAAAAATCGCACTGATCTACAATCCGTATTTAAACACCTTTACCAACCCGACCCTTCGCCCCAGCGTATTAATATGCCACTTACCACTTTATGTTATGTTACAGCCGAAGTTGACTACAGTAATTGTTTAGCTGTGTCGGGATATGGCCTTAACTTTAGGCGAATTTAATCCATGATCATGGTTCGTGTAATAAAAACGTATGAGATAAGCTTTTGATTTAAAAAATAACATTACACACTATAAAATACATATAATCATATAATATGTACATATTATATTATGTTGTGATGGAATGGATGTGAATTGGATCTTTTATGACAACAAGTGAATTTACCCGGCTACGTCTGCGAGTTGCATTTTAGCATTAATGTAATTTTCATTTACTTGAAAATTTTCGCAAAAAATGTTATTTTCTAGTAAAATATTTTTGAAACTCTATTTTTCGTTCATTCGTTGTTAAGCTGGATTCAGAAAAAAAAATTGTTTTAGTAGTTTTCAAAGTTAGCCCTTTAGTTAAAGTTAGTTTTTGGACTTAAAAACAATTACAAAGCCCGAGATTATAGTTCAATAGTTGCTATAACAACATAAATCTAAAGCATATACTAATCCTACGAAACTCTGCGGTATTGCTATTTAATTCAAATTCAAAATATTTTATTTAGCATTAAATAATTACAATGTTTTACTGAACTTCATGAGTCTACTACCAATTCGGAGAGAAGAAGCCTCAGACCTGAGAAGAACTGGCAAAAGAAACTCAGGGGGACTAATATTAACTCGTTATCGTTTTAGTATCTAATGACTTTAAAGTTAAATATTAAAAAATATTTTTTATAAACATTAATATTTCAATATAAAAAGAAAAACTCATAACTTTACATCTCACACCTACCTACCCTACAATATTTTCGTTCCTAAGCACTCGCTACAAAAAGGCATCGTCTAAAACGCTTTTTCTAATAACTCAGCAGCACGACCCACTGTGCGGCGCTAAATTTTTATTCTCGTAAAAGGGAAACTGTTATGTCCAGAGTGGATTCTACGGAAATGAGACCCTGTTAGGATTTCAAGTGTCCCTCAACTCATAAATTTTATACGGTTTGTATTTTTTGCCAAGTCCCATCGGTGTCGTAATCACCTAACTTTTTGATCGTAATTTTTAATGAAGTACTAAGTATATATTATAGTATGGTTACGGATCCAGACTATGCTTGCTCCTCAACTCAAAATCATTCAGTTGGTAATTTTTGTTTTGTTTGCTTTATTAACAAAAATTGGTAAATTCAAAACTAATCGAGCTACTACTAAAAATGCTTATAATTAATAATATGTAATTACTAATTACATACACTATGTCTCATCTACGGCTGTCAAACTTGGTTGTTGATCTCAAAACCAGAACCAAAATACAAGCAACTCCGAAATGGAAAGAAGTTACCTATATAGGTATAAAATTGAATACGAACATTCGCAATAAAACAAAAATAACGGACACTTTAGCTTTTGCACTACAAAGTAAATAAATGGAAGTGGTCTGGCCACATGGCCAGATTCAACGATCAGAGGTGGAACATTAGATCATTCATTTTACAATGGTCTGGACCGTGAGGATCTAGACTCCTAGAGCTAGAGGCCGTCCATGTGTCAGATAGCTAGACGAACTAGTGGCGATAGCGGGTCAAAGGCAGACAAAAATGGCAGTCCTTGTCCATACAATAATTAACATTATTCATTTTTAAATTTTCAACTTTTAATAACTTATTGTAACTAATTTCGCATGGAACTAAATAAAGCTTTATTATTATTTATCATAATTACACACACAAATACACATTTTTTTACTCCTCCCACGTTTGTTACTCTACTTAAGGATCAATATGAAACGGAGACAGAATATGACCTTTTTTAACATTAGGAAAAGCATAAATACAGGTTCACGCATACCACCTGCATAATATACCTGCTAGAAAACCCAGTAATACCCAAATTAGAATGTTTTTGTTCTGAATTCGAGTAAGATAGTAGTAAGTATAGACTTAACACAAATCTAGTATACTGCGACACTAAATAGCTGCGACAAAATCAGGTTACAGTGTACTTATATAAAAATAGAAATTCATTCCGACCATCAATACGTACTGTACTTGTATTGTAACGAAACCGACACATTAATCACTCAGCGAGCGCTCCTGTCACCGCGGCAATGTCGCTCGACGCTTGTCGATCCCAGCTAATTTACTTCTATTCGTAGATAAATATTAATGTCCGACATAAATTGTTATTTTGTATTGTTCACAATCGAACACTTGTCAATGATCAATGACTATATTGTAGGTTTAATTGATTGACGTGACGCAATATTGGAGTCTTGCCGTTTTTATGGTAGTTTATGAAATCACTTGATTTCTAATGATTAAAACGTCATAAATATTTATTTATTTATGACCTTTTAATCATGACCTTTTAATCAATGATTATGGTTATTGAGAACTATTATAATTGGTAGTTTTCCTATTTCGTATGAGCATCAAGAAAATTAACAAGTAGTTTTAGTTAATTTAGGATTGATTTGACAAAGAATAATTTGAAATCTTAAAGCGGTAGTACTACACTGTAAGGACTTACGTCATACGACAGACAGCTTTACCTGCATTTATACTTCATACAACTGTATGAAATATGTTCGCGGATTCAGCTGTCGAGTTACATAAAAAGGTGTGCTGACGCAGACAGGGCTTGATGTAACCCTTCAGAAACTCATCTGAATAGTTTTGAAGATGCCAGTTAGTCTAGTGTCTTTATTAAGTTTAACAGCACTATAATTATTTCCATAAAGATAGTTCGAAAAGTCAAAGAGTAAGTAAGCTGCTTTTCATCCAGGTAAATGAGTTCAAGTGCGAGTTACTAGATAACTATACATAATATAATAAAATTGTAATGAAGACGAATCTATACATTAAATATTTTTTGGAAAATCTTATTGAAATAAACATTATTATCGATACAGAGGCCGACTCTATAGTTTTTACAA